TCACACCGCTTGTAGCCGCTCCCTGCGGTGTGACGTCACGCCGACCGGCGCCACGAGGGCCCCGGCGGCCATCTATTACCTACCTATCCATTGTATGGTCAGTATCCTTCCTGCCTCTGCCTGTATACTATACTGTGTGTTTTTGGGAATAAATACCCCTTGCCTATAAGGTATCACACTATCTGGCCTCCTTTGTTCTTTGGGCTCTGGTGGGAGTCCTTTACATCTGCAGAGCGGCCTTTTCTTCTATGTGTGGAATACACTACCAGGTGGCGGAGGGCCTTTTGTGACCAGATCTGACCAGATCCATATGAGGACCCTGGAATTGTCAGCTTTGAATGCGCATTTGAATTGCGTATCTGGTGAGTGCGCAATTTTTACCTTTATCACCTCATCCACGAATCCAGGGATTGGAGCTCTTAAAGGACTCTCTTGGATTCTGAGCACGCTATGGGACTATACTCATTATTTTAGTCACCGTTTTGCACTTTAACAGCACTTTTTACTGATTTATATTTATCAAGTATATAAGTGTATATTTATTCAGCTAGCGCTGCACCTCTCCCTTGTATGCATTTTTTGTTTATTGAGAAGGTTCATATGGTACCTCTTTGGGTTCAGCTGCTATTTTCTTATCTCATTGCCATTTATTAATTGATTTTAATATTAGCTGAATTTTAAGCGCTCACTTATTTTGAGAATTATGTTTACTTTGATCTACTGGTTGCTGACCCCCGCTGTAAGGCATTGCACCCCGCAATAAGCAAATTGCTGGGTACAATGTTAAAACTATCAACAAATGAGAGAGTTAACAATAACATGAAGACTCAAGAAACAACCTAAAATCTTATGTTGCCCTTGTAGGTTATTTTTTATACAAGCCGATAGCCGGGCTTGTACTTGTAGACCATTCAATCACAGAACTCTTTTTAACAATTGTGGGTGGAGCCCCACGCTACAAATAAAAATCTGTTTTTCCTTTACAATGAGAAGGGGGATCGGGAAGAGCTCAGCAGAAACATGATGCATTCTTTTGCTGCATGTGAACATATAACATGTTCCCAAAGGTGCTTGGTAGTCTTCCCGCCAGTGCCTCTTTAACCGGTTAAAGATGAGGCGGGACGGGTGGGGTTTAGGGATATCATGTGACCGCCGTGACACATCATCAAATGATCGGGTAATCCCAATCGAAAGAGCAGACAGGGGACCTTTCCGTGAGTGCCGGACATGTGTGCACCATGCGCGCGCTCTCAGCACATTTGGTTAATTGCACGCTCACTTGTGCGGCCACTCGGAATTTAGGCCCAGACTCGGGAGGCCCTGTTTTTGATGCTGCCCAGCGTGAAGACAGGAAGTGAAGGGGAATGCTCACCCCCAAGTTTAAAATCAACAAATGGCAAACCAATACAAAAATCTATGTTCTTGATTATTTTTATACTTTGTGGGTGACCATTCTAGAGAAACGAAATAAATCTGTTTTTGGTTTATTTTTATTTTAGAGTCATCTAATTGCTGCATGGGTCGATGTGCTTATAGTTTCACTACCGGTAAAGGAGATTTTTAATATATATGGGTTAATCTAATGCAAACAAGTTGTCTGGTGACCAGGGGAATCCCTAGTTTGGTGGAATCCTCTCATTTCCTGTTTTTCAATGGGACAGGAAGTGAAAAAATCCCCCCAAGAAAGACAGATGAAAATAATGGGTTTATAACCCTTACTTACTCTAGAGAAACTCAAAGTTTGGCCTTTCTACTTTAATATCTAATGAGAGGACGATTATATTTCACTAAAGAAGGTTAAAACTGTGTCTAATCTAGAAACATTGCCTAGTAGGTATCATGCATTTTTCAATGAGTAAAAAATTACCCAGAGAAAGACCATGAAAATGCATTAACTGACGTTCAATCGATCCCCACAAAATCAATAAATTCATTTTAAAACTAGAAAATGATGTATAAACTAGTACAAATAAAAAGGCAGGGGAACGCTATTTGTTCAAATCTAATTTCTTCACGACTTAAAAAAAAAAAAAAAAAAAAAAGGGCATGGACCCCAAGGTCTTAATTTAGACCGCACAGGAATAATGTACTTAGTTTGAAGATCCAATAAGTTCATTGGTGACTCATTAATGTATAACTAAAGACAAACCTTTTTTTTCTTCAGTTTTGGATAGAGTAGAGAGGGATTAGAACCAATTTCAGGTGCTTATTGCTGTCTGTGCCCCCCCCCCCACATAGGGAGATTCACTATCTCTTCTTTTTGTACCCTGTTTACCATGATCACGGAGAGTGAAAGCAAAAGAAAATCCCACATTTGGTTTGTCACCAGAATAGAAGGAAATTTTCCAATGGGGACACTAGTTCTGGTCACAACCAGTAATTTCCTCACTTTGGAGTGATTTCCTCTCACCTCCTGTTGTGGCTATTGGACAGGAAGTAAAGGGAAATCTCCCCAATGGGACACAGATGGCCCCAAAAAAATATGACAGGGGTTATATAACCCTTCCTTACTCTATCCAAACTGAAAAAAAGTTTTGTCTTTAGTTGTACTTTAATTACAAGATCGTGGGAAAGGTTTATTTGCCTATAACTCTTAGAAAGGCTTTTATGATGTTCAATAAAATGAGCTAGAATACTGTGTTTCACCTTCTCATTTTATAGTGCCAGAATGACTGGCTGATTAGGGCAACATAACCATTATTGCAAAATTTGCTGAATAAGGCACAAAAATAGTATCTGCTCTTCTATGTATACATCACCTGTGCAGTAAGCTGTCCTTCCACCACCGTTACTTGTTGGTACGGAGAATTCGGTTGAGCCAAGCATTGCATTGGTAACATCTGTGCCAAGGGCATCTGGGGGGAAAAAAAACCACAGAAAATCAGCTGACTTAGAATATGGAGTTTAAGGTGCATCTAAAAGCAATGACCAAAATGTACTATTATGTAGCTTGCCAGTCCTTAGGCTGCAATAGAGTTTTTTATTTTTCATATTTGTTTCCTTCATTTTCACCTGATAATGCTGCAAATAACACACTGTCCTTAGTTGGCACCAACTCCACTCTACCTATGGAGGGAACCATAACTGTCACCCAAGCTGCTCCCTGATACGGACTACAGACAAGTCCACATCTCAACCACCAGTAGTACAGAAAACATAGCTTTAAAGCCCCATTTTTTTGTGTGTTTTATTTATCTTAATCCGCACAAGGGACAATACTTTCTTTTAAATTAGCAGTGTCAATTGTACCGATGCCAGATATCCTAGTTGAAATCTTCTCCTCAGGTGTTGTGGGAATTAAAACAGATGCAGCACAGTCAAGGATGTTGACTATGTCCACCCTTTCAACCCCTCCCTTCCCCTCCATTCATAGAAGCTTTACTACTTAGCTTTTATCAATGAAAAGAGCTTTAAGAATGAAAGACGGGGATGAATGAAAGGTCCACCTCCATTTATAGATCATTGTTCATGGCTTGAATTTAAATTAAACTTAAAGGAAGAAGAGGTTCAGTTCAGCTCACAAGATGTGACAATGACACTGCAGTTCTGGGAAGATAAACAAGGATTTTCTATACTTGTTAAAAATGTTCTTCACCTGAACAAATAAAAAAAAAAAAAACTAATACAGCCGCCACATCCAATGATTGATTTGTTGTAATATAATACATTTTTGGTTTGGGACTTAGATATCCTTTGACAAATTTATAAACCAAGATAGTAACAAGTTAGTCTAAGCCAGGCCATAGATGATGCATTTTGTTTTCTTTCAAGCAGCAGGCTACAGAGAAAATAAGGAACATCCATCCCCCAATCTCCTCTGTAAATAATGAGCCCAGAAGTGACCATGATTTAAAGTGTTACTAAATCCACAATAGTAAAATCAGTCTGTATATGCAGTAAAGCATGCTTGTTATACTCACTGTGGGACCTAAGGGGTTAATCCTCTGCATTGTGTAAAAAGGATGTTTGATCCTGACTTCTCTGATTCGCCCCCTCTTCCAGTGTCCCCCTCTTATCTCCTGTGCATGTGATCAGCACAGGATCATTAAGCACTGCCCAGACAGAGGCCAGGGGTTCTGCATCCTCCTAGGGTAAACTCCTCCTACAAGCTTTAGCCAGTGCTCTACTGAACAATGATAAAAGTCACAAGACTGCTCTAACTGGTGATGAGAAAAGGTATTTTAGCAGTTCGTATTTACTAAAATAAATGCATTTCCATGTTTAGCGAATGACGGGTCCGGGGAGACCGGATATAGCGAATGACGGGTCCGGGGAGACCGGATATAGCGAATGACGGGTCCGGGGAGACCGGATATAGCGAATGACGGGTCCGGGGAGACCGGGGAGACCGATATAGCGAATGACGAATGACGGGTCCGGGGAGACCGGATATAGCGAATGACGGGTCCGGGGAGACCGGATATAGCGAATGACGGGTCCCGGGGAGACCGGATATAGCGAATGACGGGTCCGGGGAGACCGATATAGCGAATGACGGGTCCGGGGTCCGATATAGCGAATGGAGTCCGGGGAGACCGGATATGACGGGTCCGGGGAGCGGAATGCCGGGTCCGGGGAGACCGGATATAGCGAATGACGGGTCCGGGGAGACCGGGACGGGTTCGGGGAGACCGGATATAGCGAATGACGGGTCCGGGGAGATATAGCGAATGCGGGGTCCGGGGAGACCGGATATATAGCGAATGCGGGGTCCGGGGAGACCGGATATAGCGAATGCGGGGTCCGGGGAGACCGGATATAGCGAATGCGGGGTCGGGGAGACCGGATATAGCGAATGCGGGTCCGGGGAGACCGGATATAGCGAATGCGGGTCCGGTCCCGATATAGCGAATGACGGGTCCGGGGGTCCGATATAGCGGATGACCGGATATAGCGAATGACGGGGGTCCGGGGAGACCGGATATAGCGAATGCGGGGGTCCGGGGAGACCGGATATAGCGAATGCGGGGTCCGGGGAGACCGGATATAGCGAATGCGGGTCCGGGGAGACCGGATATAGCGAATGCGGGGTCCGGGGAGACCGGATATAGCGAATGCGGGGTCCGGGGAGACCGGATATAGCGAATGCGGGGTCCGGGGAGACCGGATATAGCGAATGCGGGGTCCGGGGAGACCGGATATAGCGAATGCGGGGTCCGGGGAGACCGGATATAGCGAATGCGGGGTCCGGGGGAGACCGGATATAGCGAATGCGGGGTCCGGGGAGACCGGATATAGCGAATGCGGGGTCCGGGGAGACCGGATATAGCGAATGCAGGGTCCGGGGAGACGGATATAGCGAATGCAGGGTCGGGGAGACCGGATATAGCGAATGCAGGGTCCGGGGAGACCGGATATAGCGAATGCAGGGTCCGGGGAGACCGGATATAGCGAATGCAGGGTCCGGGGAGACCGGATATAGCGAATGCAGGGTCCGGGGGGATATAGCGAATGCAGGGTCCGGGGATACCGGAATTAGCGAATGCAGGGTCCGGGGGGAGACCGGATATAGCGAATGCAGGGTCCGGGGAGACCGGATATAGCGAATGCAGGGTCCGGGGAGACCGGATATATAGCGAATGCAGGGTCCGGGGAGACCGGATATAGCGAATGCAGGGTCCCGGGGAGACCGGATATAGCGAATGCAGGGTCCGGGGAGACCGGATATAGCGAATGCAGGGTCCGGGGGAGACCGGATATAGCGAATGCAGGGTCCGGGGAGACCGGATATAGCGAATGCAGGGTCCGGGGAGACCGGATATAGCGAATGCAGGGTCCGGGGAGACCGGATATAGCGAATGCAGGGTCCGGGGGACCGATATAGACCGGGGATATAGCGAATGCAGGGTCCGGGGAGACCGGATATAGCGAATGCAGGGTCCGGGGAGACCGGGATATAGCGAATGCAGGGTCCGGGGAGACCGGATATAGCGAATGCAGGGTCCGGGGAGACCGGATATAGCGAATGCAGGGTCCGGGGGAGACCGGATATAGCGAATGCAGGGTCCGGGGAGACCGGATATAGTGAATGCAGGGTCCGGGGAGACCGGATATAGTGAATGCAGGGTCCGGGGAGACCGGATATAGTGAATGCAGGGTCCGGGGAGACCGGATATAGTGAATGCAGGGTCCGGGGAGACCGGATATAGTGAATGCAGGGTCCGGGGAGAGACCGGATATAGTGAATGCAGGGTCCGGGGAGACCGGATATAGTGAATGCAGGGTCCCGGGGAGACCGGATATATAGTGAATGCAGGGTCCGGGGAGACCGGATATAGTGAATGCAGGGTCCGGGGAGACCGGATAGGGTTTAGTAACACTTTCATCATTTACAGTTTCAGAACTGTCCTTGATTAACTGGATTGGAGGGCAGATGTGTTATGCAAACAGTTAATGGAACAAATATGTGAGGTATCGCCACAAATGTCAAGAGTGGCAGCGATAAGTCTAGGGTCATCAGTCACTATTACCTCTACGATAACCTGTAAAGACTTTTAAAACCTAAACATATGAAAAATTCTAGGTACCATAGTTTGTCGCCATTTCAAAGGCACGCACATTTTTGAGTATTGCCATGTTTGGCATTTATTTACTGGACACAACAATCATTTATACTATAGATAAAATAGGTATTATATTGTGTTTGTGTGCACTGAAATACATTTTAGTGTATTTTTTTCCTGAAATTTACATTTTATAAAACGCATGATATTTGTGTAGCCATCAAAAAATTCCAACCACCACCATTTTATTCTACAGAGCCTCTGCTTTCAGGAAAATATATAATGTTTGGAGGATATAAGTAATTTTCTAGTTACAAAAAGCTGATTTTAACATGTGTAAAAATAAATTGCCCAGCACAGGTCTAGACAACATCCTGCAGCCCTATAGTTTGTATAACTTAGGCCTGCCATACATGGGTCAATTTCCAAACGATTTTTCATTTGAAAATCGGACCTAAGAATAATTGTCAGATTTGCGCTCTGTTAGTGGGGCAATGGCACCAGCCGATTTTCTTAGTTCCTCCCCATTTCGTTTATTGGACATGCTGGAAAATTCGTGAAAAACGACAGATTTTCTAAGTCATTGGTGGCACCATCGGATTACACAACAAACGAGGTTTTCGATTTTCAATCGAAAAATCGTTCGGAATTCAACCCATGTATTAAGCATTGCTTAAGCATTAAAAATGGTGCGTACCTTTTTTAAAGACTTTTCTCGTGTCTTTAATGAAAGCACATTTACCTGGCACATTAAAATTATGGTAAACTTGCAGACTGGACTTGTTGCTAAAAGATAACTTAGCACCAGGCAAGGCAGTTTCCATTGAGACAAGCAGCTGGCATTATATTTGTAACCAGATGTGGCATACAATCAGGGCTGGCTGTGCCCAATATACTTGTTAACAGACGATTGCCTGTAGAGGTTAATTTCTGGGCAATCAAAACAAGCAACGCAGCAGGGAACTGAAACAGTTTAATCAAGGGTTGCAGACAATAACAGCATTAGTACCGAGCACAACAATGACGGTTGCTTCAGGTAATTAATACTGTTTTTATAGCACAGCACATTATTCAATAAACAAAAGGGACGGGAATGGTCTATTTAAATTTGCTCCTTTTACCGAGGTTCTTGAAATGTCAGTGATAAGCAAAACAAATTTTTATTTCAGCAAAGTGCTTTTATTTAGCCTTTCGTTTGGGTTTCTATTGATGAACGGTAATATGTTTCATTTCACTTTACAAAGCAATTGGTATATATTAGATATAGAGGAGTGTCCAGCATAATTATTATTATTATTATTATAATACAGTATTTATAAAGTGCCAATAGTTCGCTCAGCGCTGTACATTACAAAGGGAGACAGAACATGTGACAGAACAATACCAATACAATGCAAAACATGAGGGGATCAAGGGCCCTGCTCTTTCGAGCTTACAATCTAGGAGGGAGGGGGTGGTGGCACAGGAGGAGAGATAGCTGTGGGGGATGGAGTGGTAGGAAGAGTGGAGGAGGGAGGCAAGTTATAATAATAGATTGTGGTTATCAACCTGGGGGGTCGAACGACCCTTTCACAGGGGTCACCTAAGACCATTGGAAAACACATATTACCAATGTGTAAAAAGCAGCTACTGTGTTGAAAGCAGCTACTGTGTTGAAAGCAGCTACTGTGTTGAAAGCAGCTACTGTGTAGAAAGCAGCTACTGTGTAGAAAGCAGCTACTGTGTAGAAAGCAGCTACTGTGTAGAAAGCAGCTACTGTGTAGAAAGCAGCTACTGTGCAGAAAGCAGCTACTGTGCAGAAAGCAGCTACTGTGTTGAAAGCAGCTACTGTGTGTTGAAAGCAGCTACTGTGTTGAAAGCAGCTACTGTGTTGAAAGCAGCTACTGTGTTGAAAGCAGCAGTATTGGAGGTAAAACGACACTTCATGAATTATAATTACAGGGTAAATAATTTTATGGTTGGGGGGTCACCACAACATGAGGAACTGTATTAAAGGGTCGCGGCATTAGGAAGGTTGAGAACCACTGCGCTAAAGGGTCTATTTGAGAAGCTCATTGAAGATTGCACATGAAGCCAACATGTTTCAAGGAAAAGGTTTCCCCCCTTCCTCAGGGCTGGAGCAAGGAATTTCATTAAAAGAGCAATGAGATGCAATAGGAGACTTACAGTGGAGCTTGATAAAGGCCAACGGTATTCATTTGCAAACTGCTGGTATGATTTGCAATTGTGATAAGATTTGATAGCTTTTATCAAGTTCCAATCTAAGTCCCCTATTGCATCTCATCGTTGTTTTAATTACATCCACTGGTCCAGCCCTGAGGAAGGGGGAGGCATTGTCCTACAATGCGTTGACTTCATCTCTTACCTTCAAAAAAAAAAATTCCCAAATAGACCCTCAAGTGAGAATCTTTTACACCAGGAGCTCCTCTATACCCATCTCATTTTGACTGGACTTCTTTCGCTATCAGAGAGGTAAAAGCCCAAGACCATAACAGAGTCCACTGACATTGCTCCTTAACATGAGACTCTACTCACCTGCAATTCAGTGATGCGCTGTCCTGGAACTCCTCCTACCCCCCCCCGCTGACATTTTTGGGTGGTCAGCTTCAGGGTCTCAATCGCCGGCCACTGTCATTGGCCAGGTCAAGTTGACATTACTCCCAGCACTGCCATCACTTTACAGGGGTGGACAGTAAGGTAAGTAGCTTCAATGCAGAACAGACAAACGATGTCTCTTCTGCATTAAAAATCCGGCCTGTCCACCCATTTTCATTTTCTAAAATAAAGTTCCACTTTATTTGGGTATTAGCCACTTGGCTAGGGATTAGCACTTCTGCCTGGAAGTACCAGGGTTGTTGGTTCGAATCCCAACCACGGCACTACCTGCTTGGAGTTTGCGTGGGTTTCCTCCCACACGCCAAAGACATGCTGGTAGGGTAATTGGCTCCTGTCTAAGATAAATGAAAAATAAAAAATTGTCCCTAGTATGTGTGAATGTGAATTAGGGAGCTTAGATTGTAAGCTCCTTGAGGGAGAGAGCCACAGATACACAAATCTTCAATCAGCTGCCATAGGACACACATCTGCCTGTTCATAACTTGCAGTCATTTATTTTACCCAATTCGGAGGTTCACTCTAGAGATGGCACACTAAAAGAACAGACTGGTCTTAGTAGACAAAAGGAACGATTCCTCTACAAGTAATTCAGCAGTTTGTGAAAAAGGGATTCTTTTTCTAAATAGAAAAAAGCATAACACATTGACTGTGCCTAGAATATATAATATAATATTTCTTTATATATTAGCAGAAAGGATTCACTGAATCTAAGTGAGTCACTAAGTGAATTTATTTATGTATATTATGATAGAATGTGTGTTTTATATCAATGTAGATCGCTATCTCTCTGGCTCCTACACACAGGATATTAGGAAAATCACTGACACCAAGCACTTGGAACTGTAGTGACATGCTTCACTCCATGCATTGCAAAAGCTGTTTAGAGCAGAAAGCTTACATGTGAAGTTTCAGCAACACAAAGAGGTTGATTTTCTAAAACTGCAAAATCTGGTGCAGCTCTGCATAGGAACCAATCAGATTCCAGGTTTTATTGCCAAAGCTTGATTAAACAAGCTACAGTTAGCAGCTGATTGGCTACCATGCACAGCTGTACCAGATTTAGCACTCTACACTTTTAGTAAATTACCCCCAAAGTTTAAATAGATCAGCTGTGGACCACTATTGCAAAATGATCACACAGATACAGTATGGGGTTGAGTTACTAAAACTGGAAAGTGCAAAATCTGGTGCAGCTGTGCATGGTAGTCAATCAGCTTAAAATTTCTGCTTGTTCAATTAAAGTGGTTGTAAAGGCTTAATGATTTTTACCTTCACGCATTCTATGCATGAAGGTAAAAACCTGTGTGCAGCAGTGCACCCAGCCCCCTCGATACTTAGCTGAACCTCACTACGATCCAGCGGTGTGAATAGCCTCGGCTATCCTGGGTCTCTGCCTCCTCATCGGCAGATACAGCAAGCGGGAGCCTGCTGTCAATCACAGCCAGTCAGCCAATGAGGAGAGAGAGGGCGGGGCCAAGACGCAGCTCCATGTGTGAAAAGGACATATGGAACAGCGGGTGACCCCATAGCAAGCTGCTTGCTCTGGGGGCACCCGACAGGAGCGAGCAAGTATAGGATGTTATCCCCCCCCCCCAAAAAAAAAAAGATACAGTATGGGGTTGAGTTACTAAAACTGGAAAGTGCAAAATCTGGTGCAGCTGTGCATGGTAGTCAATAAAGCTTAAAATTTCCGCTTGTTCAATTAAAGTGGTTGCAAAGGCTCAAACATTCTATGCATGAAGGTAAAAACCTTCTGTATGCAGCAGTGCCCCCAGCCCCCTCGGTACTTAGCTGAACCTCACTGCGATCCAGCGTTCTGAATAGCCTCGGCTGTCCTGGGTCTCTGCCTCCTCACTGGCAGATACAGCAAGCGGGAGCCTGCTGTCAATCACAGCCAGTCAGCCAATGAGGAGAGAGAAGGCAGTGCCAAGACGCAGCTCCATGTATGAAAAGGACATATGGAGCAGCGGGTGACCCCATAGCAAGCTGCTTGCTGTGGGGGCACCCGACAGGAGCGAGCAAGTATAGGATGTTAGTTATCCCCCCCCCCCAAAAAAAGATACAGTATGGGGTTGAGTTACTAAAACTGGAAACTGCAAAATCTGCTGCAGC